CACACACACACACACAATGGGCAATATGTTTGAGCCTTCCAACAGTATTCACTGTGTCACTTCAGGAAATGATGTACATGTGGAACGGTTTCAGTATGATCAGCAAAAGACCCGAGCTGACTGAAGGCATGATGCAGACTTTGGTGGATGCAGAGCGCACCCTACTGGAGTCTCCTGGTAATACAACTCATCCCAAACCCCTCTCTCCTGAAATATAATGTAGAAAATGAGATTACACACCACATCTGTGCGTCTGCTGTGCTGATGATGATGTCTGCTTCCTCCTCTACAGAAAATGAGTATTCAGTGGATGACCGCTGTTTGATCCACCTGCTGAAGGGTCTGTGTTTCAAGAACCAGGGTATCCTCCTGGCCGCTGAGGAATGCTTCAACAAAGTGTTTTCCAGGTGAGCCCCAGTGGATTAAACACATGTATCTTCTGTAAAATAAAATACACAAGTCAGCACGGTCTGATGATTCTCAGCAGCTGACCAAATATATGTGTAAAATGTAACTGTATGTGACAGTTAATTAATCTTTATGTTGTGTGCTCAGTGAAAAGAAGATCCGGTTTGACCACTACCTGGTGCCCAACTCTCTGGTGGAGCTCAGTCTGCTCTACGTAGATCAAGGCAGGAGGGACGAGGCAATTAAAATACTGCACAAGGCCAAGTAAGTGACTCCTTCATATCAGACACAGTTTAATCCTGCCACAAAGACCCAGTGAGAAGTATACTACGTCATTTTCATTCTTGTGCCCATTGACTATCTGCATTTAATATAGAAATGATTAGAGTTGAAGTACTCTAAACTGGCAGCCGGCATAGCTTGCACATGCAACATTTGGGGGAACAAATCATTGTAATATAAAACCGTAATTAATACGCCCAAATTATTAAAAATGTCATGTTTCCTGCCATTTTGGTAAAGTATAAGCCTTAATGAGCAATATTTTCTTCCTACCTTTCTTGTAAGTAGTTTTATGAAAAAGATTAATACCACTCTCATGCCTCTAAGGTAAAGGTAAGATAGCAGCTTGGTTAGCTTAGCCCAGCATGAAGACTTGAAGCAGCTAGACTGGCGCTGTCCAAAGCTAACAAAATCACTTATCACAGCCAAGAAATTGGCACAATGTACAATACCCCCCCTGAAAACTTCAACTTGTCTTTATGCTTTAGTTTTTGTTGTTGTTTTTTTTAGAAATGAAATACAACATGCTGAACTTTGAGCTTTTGAGGCACATGTAAGCAGATTTGTTAGCTTCAGACAAAGCCAAGATAGCTGTTTGTCCATATTTCCTATTACTATATAAAATGCTCTTGTGCCTTTTACTGAAGTTGTACATTGACACATTTATCTTCAGGGTTGGGTCAGAATACTTGAGAAGGGTCCAACTGCAGTCCTCCCTCCTGAAGCCCCTGTGAACCAATGGGGTTTGAGCAGAGTAGGAGAGTTCTGTATGGAGCTGAGTTTATTTTAGCTTAGCAGTCCACCAAAATCTGTTTCTGAACAAATCTTAGGCAAGAAATAAGCAATCCAGTTGCTAAATCGTCACTCATATTACATCCACAAGGCCTAATTTAAAGTTTCTTCTGACTTTAGTGAGACAAGGGCACAACTGCACGACCAGTGTTATGGTTTAAAGAGTGACCGTGTTAACTGGTGACTTTCAGACGAATGCGTCTCTGGTTACTCTCAGTGAAGGCAGCTTCAAAACATGAAAAGAGCTCTTGAATTAAATGTTCAATATTCGTGTGGAGGAATTTGACCCTATAATACAGGTACATTTTGTTTGTTTCCCACATTATAAGAACTTTATAAATGTACGTAAATGTTTGGTGTAGACAAGTGAGTGGGTATTTAAAATTGATTTTGGGTGCTTTTTTTAAAATTACTTTTGGATTACTTCAAAATCAAGGTTAGAGAAGCAAGCTTGTGTCAGGTAGGTTGTTGTCTAATTTCCCCCAGACCGTCAGGATCAATCTGAGTGAGGTAATTAAGAAGCAGCACTTGCCACTCCTTCATTCCTACCACTGAGATGCCCTTGAGCAAGACCCTTAACCCCAACAGTTCCAGCTGGCTTTTAATGCCTTATTGCCTTTAATTGATAGAGGGGTTGACACACAGAAAAGGGCCTCAGGTAGGAGTTGAACCCTCAACAATCAATTATCTTTCTTTGCTCTGATTGGTTGTTTTTATTAAGGCCCGGTAGTATGGAGTTAGAATCATGCCAAAACCTCACACACACACAAAACGTGTTTTACTCACGCCCAAC